ACTATCACTACTTCGACTACTTCGACGACTACTACTACTACTACTACTACTGCTACTACTGCTACTGCTACTACCACTACTATTACTACTACTACTACTACTACTACTACTACTACTACCACCAGTACTACTGCTGCTACTTCTCCTACCACTACTACTACTACTACTACTACTACTACTACTACTACTACTGCTACTACTACCACTACTACTACTACTACTACTACTACTACTACTACTACTACTGCTATCACCACAACGACGACGACTACTTCTACTACCACTACTTCTACTACGACTACTACGACGACTACGACGACGACAACAACAACTACTACTGCTGCTACTACAAAATCCACGGTAGTATGAATCAAGGACAACGCCATGGACAATAGTGGTGATGATGTCAGCATATCAGGCCCGAGGAGCGGACCCAGGCAAGCAGCACTCTGGGAAGTTCTGCATCTTCCCACTCGCCGGTCCACGCAAACCGCCACGGGTTCGGGTCGTGGGGAGGGGGGAGAGGCGTGGGTGGTACGGTGTAGATGCAGGGCGAGACTACAGATTCGTAGCTTCGTGTGTGTGCTGCCGTGGTGTCTCTCTGATCATAAATTACTTTTTCTTCGAGAGTGAGTCACCGCACTCGCAAATAGGAGCACGCCTCATATGAATCAGTTCAGATTCAGCAGTTTGTGATTGTTAGATTCTCCACGACCTGTTCCGCAACAATGTCTTGAACCTATAGCACCCATGTACTTGAGGCTGTCTGTCATGCGAAGCAGCATGGGTTAGAAATCATGTGGCCAGAAAGGATTCCCTCTTGAGCCAGTTGTAACTTGGTGTCTTCACGTCCAAGGCTTAGGACTTGGGGTTTGCATAGGCACCGTCTTCGCAGCCCAGTCTGCTTCTAACACAAGCACCCAACAAGCCTATATCTCCCGCTGAGCAACGCGGCCAGTCTTTTTCCATGAGCTGCATTCGACAGCGAGGGGGTAGCCTGTGCGCGCGCATGAGACTCTGAACTGTCTGCCTGGAAAGCAGCTCGTACTTCTTCCGTGTTCAGGGACCCTGCCTCCTTCGAACGCTCGATCTGCCTGGTGTAGTAACCGTGAGTTGGGGCACCTGCACCAAGAAACCTGACCGGCGACAGACTGCAGATCAGGTACAGGTATTTCTGCAGGGTGGTTGTCGTCCTCGCGGTAGATGCTACTAGCACTAGCATTTCCTACTGATACACTAAGGCCTTTAGGTAACTATGTTGTTTGCAATGCTGTAGACTGTAGCCCAATACTAACAAGTGGATCGAGGGCTCGTGTGGGCTTGTACGGTTTAGAGGCCGCAAGCAAAGGACGGGTGATTGCAGGGGTCCTGCAGATTTCCTGCATTGAAGATCCTGCAGCTGTGTGCCAGCAACCTCGACACTGAGAGTACACCGGCATAACAACACTGCAGCTCAAACCTCTTTGGTGCCACGGGGGTGATCTCCAGCCCCTTCAGGTTCGCACTCCCCTCAGGGGAGGCTGTCAAACGACCATAGAGGGCCAGGACAAAGCAATAATGTTCTACGTTTGCACTCACCGGCCACATTCGCAGCTCTTGAATGCAAGTTTCCCGGCGCTTGCTCGGGCAGGTATGCTCTGAATTAACGACTTTCACAGAAGGCGTGTTCTTGCCCGTGGTCTGGCCTGACGAACAGCTGGGGCAGGGTTGCTCTTGCGACAGCTCTCCTCCCTATTCCGGCTGAACAGCATCTCGCGCAAGGCTCGTACATGCTCGTACTGTAAACTGTAGTCTTCCGGTTGTGAGCAGTCTTTAAGAACGCTTGTGAACACGGCTGAGGTCGTCTTTACAACTTCAGGCACTGCTGGAACCCACTCGAAACGACGATATAGCCCAGCCTCAGCAAGCTTCACGCTGCGTCTGCGGATTCTGGCCCATTACTGCCAGTTCACTTTCTCCGCACTGTGCTTTGGAGCATCCGGAGCCTGGGAAAGGGGCAAGCTGGTCGGAAGCGATAGCACCGGGCATGTCCTACTAGTAGAACGGCTCAGGGGACGTAGACTCCGGATGCTGGCACTTTGCCAGGATGCAGGCGCATGCATGGCGCTGCTGCTTGCGGACTCCTCCTGAACGGGCTGCCTCGGATTACGTCGCCGATTGCGATTGGCCCGGTCCTTTGCCCGAGGCTGGGCGTAGGCATGGTCTGTATCTCCCCAGGCCCAGTAGTCGCCAGGGCCCCACCAATCGGACCAGCCATGGCCCCAGTTCCACGCATCGCCCCACCTCGGCAGTCAGGATGAGGTCTCGTATCTACATCATGCAAGCAACACAGTACAGTAGAACGCTGCACACTCACATATACACCGACACCATGAGTTGTCTTGCCAAGCCACCACTCTTCTTCGTACCGGCCGTGCTGCTGTCGGTTGCGGCGCTGCTGCCTCCTCCCTTTCCCTTGGCCTTTTCCTGACCGTTGGCTGGAGCTGGGGTGGTTGGGGGCGAGGCTGTTGACGCTGCCGGAACTCGTGCGACGGCTTTCGCCTCCGGAGCTCCTCTGCAGCTCTGCTTCTAGATCTGCAACATATTTGCAGCTCTGGGATGGCGGCAGCGCTGGGACTGGCTGGCCGACCTGCTGAGCTGTGAGCTGCTGGAGCGGTTGAAGGGCTTCCGGGATGGCAGTAGGGCAGTCTCCTGCATTGGGGGTCTGGGAGGCTTGGGCTTGGGCCTCCTGTTGGGGCTGGGATGGGTGA